GCACGCGTCTTTCTCTTGTCCAATCTTTTCAGTTGTTAAATGAAAGAGTGAGCGTTACTGTTAGATTAAATGTGTTACTGAAAACGAAAGGTTTATTTCGTATAATTATTTGTAAAAGCATGCAAAATATTATCTTATACAAAATTTAAGTTTGAATCATTTGCATGATTATGACGGAGTTCAAGGAAAGGAATAATAGTAAAATTCATACAGGAATATTTAAAATTATTAGCGCGAGTGTATGCATAGCTGTGAAAGTAATATCTGTATATGCATATTTTATTAGCTGTTTGCTGTCTTGGAAACCATTACAGTGAGTTTATGTCTGACATTAAAACTATATTGAAAGTGTATCTTTTCTTATTTAGCCTCACAAGAATATTTTATTTTAGAACGATTTACTAACTCATTTTCCAGAAAACTTATGCAAGGAGGTGTCATAAGTTAACAAGAACGAAGCTAAATAACAAATAGTTTTTGTAAAGTCACACGGTTTTCTTTAATAGGATGGTGACTTATTTTACTAATTGTATTGATATGATTTTGTTTGTTTGTTTTTATGTTCAAAGCTACACAGTGGGCTAGCTTTGTTGTGCCCACATGGGTAACGAATTCCGGTTTTTAACATTATAAGGCATCAGCCACGGGGGATGTATTAATACGACTTCTTATTAAATTTTCTTTTTACTGATTTGTGTTTATGTCAACTAATATATGGACTATGATTTTTTTTCAAAGGATTATAATCAACCGAAAAACAACAACCAAAACTTGGTGGAGTACAAAAAAAACACTAAATAGATATTTAAGTGTAATGGACAGTTTAAAGTCCTTTTGGTTAAATAAAACTATACTTTTTCTTATTACAACTACCACTGGCTTAGCAGCGGATTATAATCAACCGAAAAACAACAACAAAAACTTGGTGGAGTACTAAAAAAAACACTAAATAGATATTTAAGTGTAATGGACAGTTTAAAGTCCTTTTGGTTAAATAAAACTATACTTTTTCTTATTACAACTACCACTGGCTCAGCAGCGGTTCCAAATTCTGCTGATGACTGTTGAGACACTTTGCCATAGCCTGCTGTGATTTGACAACTTCTATTCATCGGCTCTTCACGTGACCGAAGCAATTAAATTTCTTTGAGGCCTAGCTATGGCTCATAAACAAACTGAAGCACTTTAAATACTGTAGCAATTTTCAAAGTGACAACTGACACAATATTCTGTGAAACTACTATTGAAAGAAAAAAACCAATCAAGCGTGATTTTGATCACTTTTAAGTATAGAACGGTTCACTCTTAATGTTTTGCTAAATTACTGAGCAAAAAAAGTGGTTGTAAAACCCTCTATGTTTGAGGTGATTGATTAAACGTAATATAGTTAAAATACCAAATAAGATCAATTCTCTAGATATAAAACTCATACACAGTAAACTCTCAACCACACTTAGTTTAGTTTAACACATAATGTTTGCTAATTAGCTCATGTTTACATTCTTTATAAATAGGAACTACAGCTTTGAGGATTCGTGGTATCTTTTAGGGAATTCCCTGAAATCATGTGCCAGCGCTCTTTAAATTGATTACACTCAAACAAAGTGAAAAACTAGTCTATTTTTATTTATGTTATCAAATAGCATGATGTTAGTTAAGTGAGTAAAATTATAGTAATTTACATAAGATACAAGTATCATGGTCTACCTTTAAGAATCTCGAGAACGATGTTACGATTAATTTTTCTTTTATAACAGTGTAATTCCATCGTGCATGCATGTATAAAAAGTGCTTTTATAACAGTGTAATTCCATCGTGCATGCATGTATAAAAAGTGCTTTTATAACAGTGTAATTCCATCGTGCATGGATGTATAAAAAGTGCTTTTATAACAGTGTAATTCCATCGTGCATGCATGTATAAAAAGTGCTTTTCAATTCATTTTGAATTTAAAATTTGATAAATGGAATGGTTATAACATTGGAACTTCGTTAGTTTAGTACTGTATTGTTGTATTTTAAAATTATTTAGACTTATAATGCTTATCTCTTGATACAAACATACTACAACGAAAAAGTACATTTTACTGCACTTTATTTGACCAGCATGGTAACATGAGAACGGATGGCTAACATGCTAAGACGTAATTATAGCAATTGACACTTATTCGCTAAAAAGCATGTCATAATGTGAATGATTCATTGTTAGTTATAAATTATGTGTATTAGAAATACTTAAACATACAATTTCCCTACTATATTTACACATACTTAGTACCCCCGCATGTTTGAAGTTAACACACTTTCACCAGTAGTGTCTGTTTGATGAGGGAGCTGTTGCAATAATGTCCGAAGTACTATATATAAAAGTTGAGATAATCTCCAGTTATATAAAAGCAGGTCATTGATGATGTTATTATTTTTTTTCCGTTTTAGGTTGGACTGGAAATAACCTTGATATTTTCCCATACACAATGACTTGCTAAGAGGTACTATGAAAAATATGAATGTGCAAATTAGAAAAAAGTCTAAACCCAGAATTTCATATTTTCAGTAGATGAAGGGGTATTTTACTCATTTCCAAAAACACTAGAAACATTTAACTGGTTACTTTCTTCTTTCAATATTTACCTTAACTAAATGTTATTTTAGTTTGACAGCTATCTTAGAGAAATATTTTATATAATTTATACCGATATATGAAATTACTTTGGACAAGTGTACAGCATAATGTTTCTTGGTAGAGTGAACAACCAATCTTCATCAAAATGTAACGATTTGGACATATCTATTATATTCTGAAAACTCCAATATTGCATGTCAACCATTTATAAGTTTAATCTTTTAGTATATGTATACACCAACTCAAAACCGTGAATAGTATTTTTTAAATAGCTTTGCCGTTTTAGATTCCTACTCAAAATGACTTGCATATTATAGTGATTCGTTTAATTCAATCATACTAATTACTAAATATAAAGTCAGACGACTTGTATTTCGTTTGAGGAAAGTCAAACTAATCGTTTCATATTTGGTAAACGGTACTGTTTTTCGTTTGATAGACCACTTGTTCGAATACTACTATCAGTATTATTGATTTTAACATGCACAAGGTAGGTTAGGGATTTCATTTTTGTAATTCTGAGGGTTAAAAAGAAAGAAAAAGAACAGAGTACCTAAAAATGCTATGATTATTTCACAACCGCTGTTGAATACATGACAATATATGTATTTGAGTACTGATCCACTCAAGACAGATATATATTTGTTTTAGAGGATGTATGCAAAAACAAAAACATAGTATAACGAAGGAAACAAGGGTAGAAATTGTGAAGTTTTGTTTTTCCTAACTTCAATCACAAAATGCAATCGAGCCACCAATTACTAGAACTGACCCCCAGGGATATCCGTTCAATTGCTGGTGGTCGATTCATGTTGACAGTAAGAGGGTGTATAAGATGATAGAATAGCTCAGGACGAAAGTTTGATTAGAGGTAATTACCTTCAGAATACGTGATCATTAGCTTTAGGAAAGGTGACGGCATTGAAAAGTGACTGATGACCAAAGACACAAGTAAGCAGGAAATAAGACCTTTGAACCGATAGAATCACATTGCTGTGCCCTTTTTTATTCTCGTGGGAACGCAAAAATGGCTAATGTAGAATTTTGTAAAACTAACGCCGAGGTTTAGTTTTTCATATTCGATTATGTTGTATTCAAGCTGGTTAAGAAATGAACATATTTTACTGAAATAGAAACAATCACATTTTATTTCAGATGAGCATCATGAAAGACTTATATTTATTTTTGCTTATATGCGACTTATTTACACACACATATATACTATGTATACACAAAATGTTTATTCTCTTAAGATTGTAAGCATATCCTCTAAATATACGTCTATCCATTTTTTGTATAGTACTTTTTTCTACAGATATTGCTAAGTAGTTTTACGTTTCCGTATTCCACGGGAAGAATATTCTCTTTAAACATCTGGATACTATTTATAGTACTCAGACGACAGCAGACACTACTATCGCTACATTTTATTTGAATGAATGTTGTTAAGTTATACTCAGTTTTAATTGCTCATTGGAGTGGGCAAAACATCGATTCATGATTGTTTATGGAATGACTGTGCCTAGTTAAAGTTATCTTTATACTATTACTATGTTTAATTTAGTAACAACGATAAGCTAACTGAAACAGAGTTGTTTTATAGTTTAATTAACATGAATATCAAGTATTTTTCAAATTATTTGTAAACCCTTACAGCCAAAGTATTCAGCATCATGCCCATATTTAAGTTTTAATTATGCTCTTTATTTTCTAGTGTTTAAATTATAGATTGATAGTTCCACATCAACAGTTTTTTTTTTAATTTTTGTTTGCATTTTAACTGTGTTAATACCGTCGAAAATGAAAATGTATGAAAGTGAACGGTATTCTTTTAAGCCTGCGAGTTTAAAACAACACCATATTTAATCTTAATTTACTGAATGTTTAGGAACTACTGTAAGATTCGATTCTGTTTAATTAAATAGAGTTAAAATATCTAACGTCAAGAAAAACACATCCTAAATGTATGCCTATATATATATTTATGTATATACATGAGTAGTGATTTTACTCCGTTCTTTATACCATTTTATTCGAAAATAATTATTAAAGCTCTCTTTCCTTCCAGCTTTATCCATTTTACAGTTTTGTAGATTGTAAAAGGAAATAGTTCACCATATATAAGAAATGTTACCTAATATCAGATAATTGAATGTGTTTAGTAATGTTACAATACACAATTTACTATGATGTTTTAAAATATTCTATATTATGAAAAGTATACATAGGGACAGCACACTTGAATTTGAAATCAGTAATCCCAACCTTCACTTGTACATTTTATCCATATTGTAAGATAACACGTGCTTTATAAATGTGTGCATCAGACAAATAATCTTAGTTCTAATCAAAATATCACAGGTAAAGAACTGACTGACCTTAAACGTGGAATGATTATTGCATGCGGCGGTAGTATGAGTGCTCACGTCATTTCCGTCAAACTGAGCCTTCCCAAGTCAAACGTCCCTATAGGAAATGGAAGACAACAGATCATGACAGTGTTGAAAGTAGGACAGTCAGGCCAAAATCATTGATAGATCGAGTCAAAAAAAAAGTTTAAAACATGGTGTAGAGCAAGTGCATGTCTGACATCAAATTTAATTTCCTAAGAAGTAAACAAATGAACTGGAACTGAAGCCAGCACATCCACAATCCGACGGGAACTGCACGAGCAAGGTTTTTTTGGAAAAATTACTGCTCACAGGACATGGATTAGAAGCCTGAATGCTAAGCGTCGACTGAAGTGGTCCCTGGAACGTCGAGATTGATGTATATAACAGTAGAAACGCGCCATGTGAAGCGATAAATCGCGTTTACACGTTGTTTGCATCCAATCGACGATGCTGAGTTTGGCGTCAACCGGCCAAACGCTACGCATTATGACAGTGTTCTACCAACGGAGAAAGGTAGTGGAGAAAGCTTAATGGTTTTAGCTGGTTTTCATGATATGAACTGTGTCCTTATATTGGGCAATGCTACATTATCAGCTTTGATGAAATACTACGTTGATGGTTCTTACGTCTACTTGCATGATAACTCGCCTTGCCATACTGTAATGCCATATGGGAAATTGTCGAAGACAAAAACAACCAAAATCGGCAGTGGCAAGTCAAGAGTCTTCTTGACTTATATCGAATCGAACAACCCTAGTATGTCTTGGAACGCTGCCTGGAGACCAGAGTCGACACAACACGATCCATTACTGAATTGGCACGTGATCTGAAGGAGGAATAGGGCAATATGACAAGTTTGTTATTTACGAAGATTTTAGTGAAAGAATTATAACTGTGACTATTGCAAGATGTGAACCAACACACTATTACAAATGCAATAATCAATTGTAAATTAATTACATTGAAAATTTCGTTATTGTTCTTACTGTTCTTGTGGTTTTTGTGAGTCATTTGAGCTCGAACTTTAAAAGTTCCATTTTTGCCATTTTTCTGCAAAAGTAGCAGCAAGAAGTGTAGTTACAAATCAAATTATTTTTCTTATGTAGTTTTTGTGAGTTAAAACATGTTGATGAACTCCTTTACGAACTTGTTTTATAAATATTGCCAAACAGTAGCAAAACTAAAATTACATCTTTATACTAAACTCGTGCTGATGCGACGATAAACCCAAGGACGTGTTCAACTGTACTCCTTACCAAGTCCAAGCACTCCACGCAAACTATTGAATATCAATAATAGCAGTAGTATTATTACTGACTTCAAGTTTGTAATTTTGTTATCGACAGTGGTATCGATTCAAGTGTAGGAATCATCCTGCTAGTGTAATGTTGGGGAAATGGGAGTTAACCTCATCCCCGACTAACATTCCGGGCAAGGGTTAATCAAGCAAGACGTGCAATAACTTCACAATGACCTCTGTTGCTTGATACCTAAATTATGTTTAAAAATAATAATATATTTGTAACACTTTTATGATTTTTAGGTAAGTTTGGATCCATAGAGAAAATAGACATTATATTATTAAAGTTAGACAAACACATTTGTAATGACAGTCGTACATATTTCAGGAAAGAAAATACCCTTAATGGCACAGTATACCAAGAATTGATATGTGTATGGCTGTTAATGGCATGCTATTTGAATAACAAATAAATTAAGATCCAGACTTCTGGGACACCCTGTAGTTTGATAACCAAATGAATAGTTTTAAGCCATGTTTTTAGTTTGTTTTATTCCAAAGATACACAATAGATTATTTACGGAGTTTAGAATTGTATGTCCGTAAAGTTAACGTTTCCCCACTGGGGTACGAATAGTTTTAAGATCTTTTAGGAAGTATAAGTGAGAAAATGGAAATCGCCGCATTGAGATTAAACTAAGAATAAAAAATTATGACAACTTACAAAACCTAAAAGAAAGTCAATCTCTATTCTATGTCTACTTAGAGCCTTCGGCAGTTTCAATTACTTTTCTGCTAATATAGAAGTAAAGTTTGTATTCACAAAAACACGGTGACAATAAAACAAAATAAAAGTATATAAATCCTTTAGTGAAATTAAAGATAAATTTCCAAAAATTTTTTATAAAATGACTGTTTAAGTAAACTACTTTAATTCAGTCATATACGAATTTTATTTACAATTCCCTAACAATATGTATATACGTCTCGTCTATATACAGCAGGCTATAAGTGTAACCTTATTTTATATGTTCATTAATTTGCTTAAAGAAAAGTAAAACAAAAAATGGTTGACAGTAAGAAGTAGCAAGTGTTTTCATTTTAAACCAATGTAATATAGATATGATAATTTGTTTTCAAGTTCGTGCTGTGTGTCTATAAATCTAACATCTCTTCTAATTCATTATCTTCATTGTCAGACTTCTGATATAAATACTCTCTTTGTCAGTACAGATGTGGGCTGAGCTTGGTTAGCGTTCTGGATTGAGAATCCGAGGGTCCGTCGTTCGCGTTCCATTGCCGCAAAGACACGCTCTGGGTGTGTTATAAGAGTGACGGTCAAATCCCACTGTTCGATTAAAATAATCAAGAGTCGACATCTATCGGGCCAGAATTATGATCGGCTGTCACAAAAATAGATATCCCTTGTGTAGCATTTCGCGGATTTCCGAAAAAAAACAACAAAAAACAGACCGTGCAGTTGTATTCGATAAAGCCATACCACGTCAGTCTGTTGGTAATCTATATCTACCCAAGAGTCATGTACATAGACATCATAAGTTTGGTTATTAAAACTGAATTGAATAAGCACATACGAGTAATATAACTTATTTTCTTTTATAAATCATGATATTTAAATGAAAAAATATTTACTGATGAATATAATAAGCCGTTTTTATGTTCGCAAAACATATTTTTTTCGGAAGAATAATATAACCGTCACAATAAACCTTTTTTTATATAAAAAAATTAGAATAATAGAACTATATATATATTCTGAAACTCCAACCTAATCATAACATTGTTAGTTCCGTATCAGAAAGCTGGTTAAACTCTATAAATTTTAAGGATTTGCATTTTGCAATTGCAATATTGCAAAAAATTCACCACTTTCCTTAAGCTTAATGGCCATGTTAACAGAATATTTATGCACTAATTTCATCAGTCAGATTTTATCGATTTATCGATACCTTTAGTTTTATTTCGCTTTCTGCGACTAAACAAAATTGGAATCTTAGTTCATATAATAATAAAGAAAGTAATATAACTTAATATATTTTACGCATATAATTGGCTTAATAAGCGCAGGCATGCGAAAGAGAACGTAAACTGCTTCAGCTGGAATATTCATTAACTTGTTTCAGACTTTTCAAAAACTAAGCATAAACTAACAATATTTTGCTAAAATACAGTAAATATTTTATGAGTATTATACCTTATTACGCGAAGAAATGTAAAAGAGTACATAACCTTTTTTTAGGTAAAGCACAAAGCTACACAATGGGCTACCTGTGCTCTGTCCACCACGGGTATCGAAACCCGGTTTCTAGCGTTGTAAGTCCGCAGACATACCGCTGTGCCACTGGGGGGGCAAAATGTTCGTCAGACTGTGCTAGTTTCTTTTAATAAATAAAAACAAATTATAATAAAATTTTACTACAATGTTATTTTATTGAGTACATTTCGATATATCGAAGATAAATATTCAAATAACAACAACATGCTAATAATTTAAAACTAGGATTTCTAGCTTTACAGATGATTTTAAAGTTGTGCCAAATATTTTTGAAACGAATGCTATACAGAAGGTACATAGAGTAATGCATTTTATCTTCATGGTTGAAAGCAAATACATCCGTCCTTTCTTCCATACAGAATTTCACGGTTCTCTTTTGTAATGGTAACATAAGAATTCTTTGTCTAAGTAAAATGTCGTCCATGAAGGTATCGAGTTAGTCACGCATTAAAAGATTTTACTCTTAAAAGCTCAGACAAAATGAAGGATTTTTCGGTTGATAAGCATAACGAAGACAAGCGTGCAGAATGAGAAATTTTAAGAGTATATCGGTATTACAGACCTATAAATGCAGAACGAAATCTTTTAAATATATTTTTCTTCAGCTTTTCAAAAGAGACCTATAACATAACTTTTGTTGAAGAATTGTGCCAGCTCTGTCCCAGTTTGACGGATGACTGAGTATGAGCAAAATGACACTTTGCTTATGCAAACACATGCTGTTAAAAATATAAGAAAAACTGATATATGCTGTGTTTTTGTATTTTTTTTCACTGAAGCCTGAAAGTTAAAGCTATATTTTTTTTACTGTAAACTGTCATCCAGAGCTTACTTCTATGATTTAAAATAAAAAATATGTTACTTATGTTGCATTAACTTATTCTGCACTATTATTATAATTCGTATGAAATAATTGGTATCTAATACAATACTACAAATCATATGATTACTGGGTTAAATATTACAGGCATTATATAATATAAGATGTACCCCCAAAAAAAATTTGCATTCACGCAACTTTGATTACCATTACGAATTTATTGTAATAAATTTTAGTTACATATCAGACCCTAAAAGTTATATTTCATAATATGATATATTATCTTTTGAATTACTTAGTAGATTGAGAAGTCGTTTCTCTTGTCACTTATAAAATCAAAACAAAACAAGAAAACAACAACAATAGAACTCGGATATGTCGTATTTTATGTTGTTTATTTTTTGTGATATCAATAAAATGGAGGGTTATGGAGGGTCTTGTTTTTGTGCTATCTTTAAGCCACAACACAAGAACAAAGAAAAATATACAATTTCATTTATAAGAAATGGATAAACAAAAACTTAGTCTTCTTGAAATATCTATATACTATCTATAATGAAAAAGGTAGAAATATAATATAACCTACAATTTATTTATTGTACATGAAGATGTACGTGACAACATAGTTCTAATATAACAATGTAATATTATACCATTTGTACAAAAGTGAAAATGTCTGCGGTTATAGCTCCCAAACAACAGATGCAGAGCTAGTCA